AAGCTTTGGAAAGGCTTAGAACACGCGTTTTATTCCATTTGGTGTTCCCAACAGCAAAATGTCTGTTGAAAACACACGATTTGCAGCTGAATTTGAATTGCATGATTTGGGGAGCTGCATAAAACAGACTGGGGGCTTGAGGGATCAGTCTACTTTTCCACTACATCTTTTTCAAAAGCAATTATGCCATGGCTAAAGTCATATTTAGATTATTACACCTGTGTTGATTGGAAACAGTCATTGAATATCTTGGCAGGGTATGTTGCGTTTTTGTATATTAATAGAACATGTGCCTCGATTTTATTTTTATTTTTTACAATTCCAAATACAGCTTTGAAAATGGATAAATATGAATGATGGGAGCTTCGCACCATATACGGCAATCATTCATTGGTGGAAGGGGCAAAAAGGAGAGAACAAGGAAGATAGAAAGTTGCTAGACTGCCAGCTGTGTTTGAAGTATCTACCTTAATGTTTTAAGACAAGTATTTTCTCTTTCGCATGAAGGTATTTTCTCTTCCTTTGCTTCTTTTGACTTTCCGTTTTAAGCATTCTTTTTCTTTGTTTTTCACCCAGTGTGAGTTTCATTCATTTGAATATGCAAAGTATTAAATGTGACTCTATGGCCAACATAGATTTACTTAAATCACAGGAAACCTCCATTTTTGCCCAACCAACAATTTAAAAGCCCTGTGCTGTAAACAATCCTTCATTTACAACATTTCCCGTATTTCCTCCACCAGCTCAGACTGGATTTAAGTCTTTTCCAACAACAAAGTATGGCGAGGGGTAGGGAATATCGTTCTGTAGATGATAGTGTGCATTACTTGAGATTCATCAAATAGGCTGTATTTGTCATCATATGTTATACAACAGGAAAAGTTCAGTGGACCTGTGGAACGCTGATAATTTGGATTTGGGGACTGGGCTTCTGTGACTAGCTTTTTACCTGCCTCACCTTTCTGTGTCACGCCAACCAATTTTGACTGATTGAATCAGACTCTCTTGCTCTACCTTCCCTGCAAGACTTTCCTCCTTGATATGATGTAACTAGAGTCCGGTGACCATAGCATAGGAATGCTGCTCCTCAGGAAGACAAGTCAAAACTGGGGCAGCTGTCACATATTTTTGCATTATGGGTTTGGCATTGCTTGAGAATAAGCACTACTGTATGTTGTAACATATACATTCCCCTGCATCGAAACCTTCCAGGGTTGGGCATTGGGAACTGTCGAACTTTTGCGATGAAGAAAACCAGCAGAAAACAGATCCAATTAGACTAGCACTACATAGATCTATCATGCTGTTGCCAATTCAACTACCATCAAAATCAATTAACAAATGGGCAAAGTACTTGCTGAGAAACCTGCACCATTAAAAAGGCAGGTTTGTAATTCAGGGAAACAATATTAGACATGCAGGAAAAATGCAACATTTTGGAAAAAGGTGTTATGCATTCAAGCTGGGAAATGTATTTGAGTTAATATCTTGATCTCATTACGATTTTCTTGCTTGCTTTGGATAATCTAGTCAGAGGAAGAGTTTTTGAGTAAATAAAAGTTTGGAGGCTAGCAATCTATTTTTCAAATTAAAGATTTTCAAAGAATTTGAGAGATAGTTATGGAATCTCTGATAGAGGAAAACTCACTTATACCTAGTTTTTAAAAAATGAGAAGTAGGTCCTTTCCACATTTTTCCTGGAAAAGAATACTTTTCCAAGAATACTTAACCCAATTGAATTTTGTAAGTGCACACATATTCCCATTAAACCTGTAACTGTACTTACAAAAGTAGCATTTATGAACATAATTTAAGGATAACCAATTCCAACATTTCAGTTTGGGAAAGAAAAAACAGCGAGCTTCATTGTGCTTGATTTTCTTGTCCACAATTTTGAGAAAGGGTAGGCTGACACCTTCTGGACATAGTTGGCTTACAGCTGAGTTGGTAGAGATTTGTAGATCTCTAGAATCTGTTGTAGAGATCTTGACTTATGTAGGCTGGAGTTGATGAGAACAGCATTCTAAGAATATCCAGATAACTACTAACACAAATTAAAGGGAAGGTGTAATTAGATGTCTTCTTAGATTGTTTGTTTTAGATTTGTAATATGTGTCTTTCAGAATTTCTAGTGTAGAGCTTGGATAAGACATGCATCCATAAAAGCATTTTAACCCCTTCCTGCAATTAAGATCATAAAAACCTCAAGGTTAAACAAACTGTTTGGTAATTGAGAAAGTCATGCCTCTTTGTCTGTGAAACAACACCATTTCCTGTTTTTTTATAATTTCCATAATTAAGTTTTTTTGTACTGGCTAAATGTGGAGTGGCCCATCATGCAATGAGTGTTTTCTTCCTCAGTTCATGGCAGTTCCTGGACAAGGCACCTTTTCTCAGGATCCACCAGGAAGAAAGTTAGAATTCTTCTGCCTTGTGTACTGTGAGCACAATTGGAAATGCCCTCCCCTCCCATTAAAACAGAAAGGACTTGCAATAAATTATGTAACAAAAGCAATTATGGTAACTTGAAATGTGTATCATTTGTATTTTTAAAAATTTACTTATTTTATTACGCTTATATGACAACTTACAATCAAAGTCTTCTTGGCAGCTTACAGTAAAGGGAAACTGAGTATTTAAATATAAATATCTCCTGCAACCAAAAATGCCGGGCACACGATTCTGAAATATAGTTAACACAGACACACTTGCTTTCACTCAAGGATTTGGGGTGCCCTAACCCTGCAACTGAATGAGAAATGAATGGATTGCTAAAATCGATTGAACAGAGTTAGATGACAGATGGAAAAATGGTATTCCTGAACATTCTCTTATGTAAGTAAAATGCGGCTGAGAGGGGGAGGGAGAGAGAATTTTAATTAAATATGATAAATGTTCATGTATGAACAAATTCCTCTTGTATCTTATTAAAGAGCAATTTGCAGGGGGTGGGTTTGCACTCAAGGCTTTCAAGGAGTATCTGAAGCTCAGGATATGAACATATGATACTAGAGGAAAGCATTGGTTCATAACAGGTATTATCATCTTCAAAGTAGGAAAAACCAAGAGCTTTTGTGTGTGTATGTGCAGGTGAGAGGGGGAGTGTTCACCAGTATCTCTATTGTACCTCTCAAATCTTCACAGAGAGAAGGCCAATATGGTGGGATCAATACTAGTCATAAGCCTGAAGCTTTTGCATGAATGCTGAAGAAGCAGGCTATGAATGAGAGAGAACCTGTCTCTTCTGAGTCTAGCAAAGAAATATAACAGAATGTAGCAAGAGAACTGGGGTTCATCTCTGCTTGTTAAGACTAATGAATTTGGGCAGGCTGGTAACTTTGATGAATTTGTTTCCAAATCTGTATAAAGCTCTGTATTTTCCAAGTAACATCCTAAAGCATTCACTGTTTTAATGACATATATAAAACAGCTTTGCTTCAGCTAAAATAAATGGGGAAAGGGGAAGAACGAAAGGGTTGCTTTTAGCTTTTAAAGCCAGATAAACCATTACAAGCATACACACACACACACACACACACACACACACACACACTGTCCTCTAAGAAAAAAACATGACTTTTTATTGGGCTAATGGGAGAGAATTCTCAATCAAATTGTTGTCATGAAAAGTGGAAGCATGCGTCAGCTTGCTTCTTTAGATACAGCAAATGTTTAGATTTTCCTTTGAACGTCTGTCTGTCTATCTATCTATCTATCTATCTATCTATCTATCTATCTATCTATCTATCTATCATCTATCTATCTATCTATCTATCTATCTATCTATCTATCTATCATCTTTGTTTTCTTAAGTTTTCACGGGTATTTATATGTATGGTATTCAGCTTTGTTTGGGTATTTTCCCACATCATTATAGTTGTGCTTTTAAAGTTGTAGCAACGTTTCGGCAGAATCTCTCATCTGCCATCATCAGGCTTCTGTATTGTGTTTGTCTGTGAGTCAGACTTTTACAGACTTTTACAGTTGTTTCAGTTTTAAATTTGGGGCTAGCCTACTGCTGTGCCAGAATGGTTTTTTCTTCATCCTGATTGGTTGGGAGTCTTGGTTTGTGTTTATTGGTCTTGGAGTTTGCTGTGTAACACCAATCAAGCAGAACACTTCAAACCCCTCCGACCCATATATGAAGCGAACTGACGCCCACCATGAAGATGTGGCACGACCACGAACGCGAAGCCAAACAGCAGGATCACAGCTCACCAGCTCAAATCCCCCAGCAACTAAGACTAACCCGAGCACAACCAAGCCCCCACCTGAACAGAACACAACCCCAGCCAATCAGAACACAGTCAACCCCCCCACCCAATGAGAACACCCCCGAACCAATCAGAACACAGCCAAGCCCCCACCCAATCAAGTCACACCCCTACTAGCAGTTAAAAGGAAGAAGCAGCTGCAAGCTCACATTACTCCGAGAAGGACAAAGCCGAAGAAGACACAAATCTGAAGATGATGAATGAGACTTCATCGAAATGTCGCCTAGATACTTCCAATTTTACGCGGGAGAAAACCCGAATAACCAAAGACCGATCTATCTATCTATCTATCTATCTATCTATCTATCTATCTATCTATCTATCTATCTATAAATATATACATATAAATATAAGTATAAATATAAATATAAATACAAATGAATTTTATGTTAACCAATGGTAAATTATTAGTCATTTATCTCCTCAGTACATCAATATTTTTCCTTAACCAGAAAATACCTTCTCAATGCAGTTTTTAAAAATGCATCATTTCTCAGATGGTTATGCAATAGGAGCTAACTATATTGTACTAAATGTTTGAAATTTATTCAGGGTATAACATTAACTTATTAAATACTTTACTCACATTTATACATAAAAGGAGTCACTTTATGCCAGGAGCACTCTCAGCTACATAGAAGATACCGCAGACTTCCTAAAAAAACTGGAATTAATTGGCAGTCTTATCTGATCATACCATTTTAGCTAATATGTATTTTGACCTACTGTACAGCAACTTCTCTTTTAAGCCATTAGAAATATAATCAGGGCTGTCCATATAGCATATCTTTCCATCAGTTCTTTTGATTTTGCACTGAACCCATAACTACATTATCTTTGGCAACAACATATACTAGAAATCATCATATTGACGTAGCAGCTTTCTTACCTTTTACCCTCTTAAATCCGTCCTTTGTTTGATATTCAGTGACGGCATTTTCATTATCTGGATTCTCAGGAAAGACTATCTTACTATCAACCTAGGCTTAACTTTTTAGTCCATCACCAAAAAAGATGCCATGTTTTTAGATATATTTAGAGTGGTGGATGATGCATGCTGATATCGCTGAAGTCTTATACCATAACAAATGATTTCTTCTATTATCTCAAAACTTCCTACAAAAGTTTAAAACAGCTCTTTAGGGTTTCAATTATATTTTTCACAGCCCTGAAATTGGACCTGGAGCTTATACCTCCTCTAACATAATGATGTTAGGCTAGGAGGAGTTAGCCAAATGTTGTTAATATCACTGGGACTTCTTCCAACTGTTCCTTTTGGTTCAGCATTGTCCAAGTAGTATTAAAAGCCAAGTGCATCAAGTTGCCTTTCATTAAAAGCCCAAGTTTCCTACTTCAATATATAGAGATAAATAAAGCTAAATGAAAATCAATTACAACTTTATTTTTCCATACTGTTATCTTCTCCAGTTATTTGGGAAAAGATTCATTTTCCTGCCAAGAGATTTTGTAAATTACCCTTTTCCTTTACAGCTTACATGCCACAAGATGATTGCATTTTAAATAGATATCAACTGAAGAATTTTTTTTCACTTCATGTGGAAACAGACTGCCTTATTATGCGATTATGCTGGATCTTCTTTAATTTTTATACCTAAATATTGCCCAAATCTACCAAACTGCTCTTTTGACATCAGCCCATCTACTCCTTATTCCTTGTGCTGCCTTCACTTCTTTCCATTCCAGTTTGACATCAAGAGCTGCTTCTTCTGGTTCAGGATCTTCTCTGACTGGTCCATTAGGCTTTGCAACAACAATGGGCAGTGGGCCACATTCATCACGGAATTCTATCACACAGAGCTTCTTCTTGTCTGCTAGCTTTTGATGAGTTTCCTGTGGGGATAATTCAAAGAGCAGATTCTAATCTACAGAAATACCAATTTTTCAGTTTTCAAAATTAAGTAAACCAATAGTTTCATGGAAGGTAAAAGCTATCCTTAGCTGCTAGTTCTAACTACTGTTTTTAGTATCAGACACAGTATCCCTTAGCCCCAGCTTTAACCTCAATATTTTAGTATATCAGGAAAGATGGACATGATAGCCTTTGGTAAGGAAAGCCTGAAATGAGGAGCGAAAATTCAAGATTTGAAAAGTCAAGACATAGAAAGAACAATATGCATTCTACTTTCACATATGTATAGCTTGTTGCATCCGGCCAAAGGATATTTTAATCTAGCAATATTTGTCACTTCCTAGTTCTTCAAACTAATTCCTAGTTCTTCACTCTTCCTAGTTCTTCAAAACTATTTTGCCTATTTCCCATAATAATGTACTGTTATTCTTACTAACTAATGAGATCTGCAGATTGATTTCCACCTTTACAGATTTTCTTGGCATAAAAAGTGACTGCAGGTCGGATGAGCTGGGATGATTTCACAGACATATGATAATAATGAAAGCAAGCGAGTCAGAAAACAAGCTCTACAAAGCACAAATGAGGCTGAATAAAATACAGCAATATTATAAAGCTGAAACTTGTTTGTTTGAAAATCCCTCAGTTATGAATGAAAGTACTCCCCTCACAAAACAAAATTTAGCCAAAAAAAGAATGGTAAAAATCAATATATTCCAAATAGGAGGACTCAAGTTAATCCATGGCATATTTCAGTAATAATGATGAGAAAAAAATATCTACTTGCCTCAAATCTAAGAGAGACTGTCACTCAAGCTGTTAACACTAGGCACACAACTAAGGTACACAACTTTTTTATTTGGCTTCTGATTGTCATACCTGGGCAAAACTCCTAATTGATTTAATTTCATTCACCTTTATATTGCATCAAAGTTGCCATTGTTCTGTGCCTGCCTCAAGTCTCAGCCATGGCAGTATTTTAAAAAACAAATACAATCCATCTTTGGATGATAAAAAACTTATTTTTAATCAGAATTGGAGAAAGTTATCAAACTCCACAACTATGCTCAGGAGATCAAGAAACTACTTTCCGGTATTCACTTTAAATTAATTTGAACATTCCCTCCCACTGCACTACGGCAAAGCACAGTTCATAAGGTATAATTAAAATACAGGTCCAAGTTAATATTTTCAACACACTGAGATGCATGTGTTAATCACTGACTTCATTTTTACCTGATTAGCTAATCCCTTAAAAAGGCATGTAGTGAGATTCAGTATATTCTTCGATCCATAAACCCTGGCATACATATCTTTAACCCCAATCAGTTTGCAGATTGTGATGATAGCACGGTGACAACGAAGTCCATACCCTGTGAAAAACCATTTAGTAAGATTCAAATAAAAAGGGTAATATTATAAACAGCAGCTATTATTACAAGTGTTTAAACTTATCTGAGGACTATATTACTTGGGACTATCTACAATAATGTATTCTTGGAAGCAGGTTTGCTAAATGCTCCAAAAGATGATGGATTTCTTCCTAATACAAGAAGTATCTGGTCTGTTGCAATTCACTTGAAACAGCAAAGCCTAATTAAATTTCGTTCGGATATTATTCATATGCTTTCCATTTGTTCCTCCTTTGTCTTTTAAATAAATATTTTCTATGTTTATTAATCAAAGTTAATTAGCAGGTTTACCTGTTAAATTAGCTACGTCATGAAATTTGTTTAATTCAATTTTTGACAGACACATATCATCTGTAAAAAAGTAAATGTTGTATTTTTAAGACCCGGAATATTCATATTCTTCCTAATATTTTGTTTGATATTATTGCAATTATATTAGTATAAGATCAAGCAAAATAGGTAAGAATGGATATACACTGCTCAAAAAAATAAAGGGAACACTTAAACAACACAATGTAACTCCAAGTCAATCATACTTCGGTGAAATCAAACTGTCCACTTAGGTAGCAACACTGATTGACAATGAATTTCACATGCTGTTGTGCAAATGGAATAGACAACAGGTGGAAAGCATAGGCAGTTAGCAAGACATCCCCAATAAAGGAGTGGTTCTGCAGGACGTGACCACAGACCACTTCTCAGTTCCTATGCTTTCTGACTGATGGTTTGGTCACTTTTGAATGCTGGCGGTGCTTTCACTCTAGTGGTAGCATGAGATGGGAGTACACAACCCACACAAGTGGCTCAGGTAGTGCAGCTCATCCAGGATGGCATATCAATGCGAGCTGTGGCAAGAAGATTTGCTGTGTCTGTCAGGGTAGTGTCCAGAGCATGGAGGCGCTACCAGGAGACAGGCCAGTACATCGGGAGATGTGGAGGAGGCCGTAGGAGGGCAACAACCCAGCATCAGGACTGCTACCTCCGCCTTTGTACAAGGAGGGACAGGAGGAGCACTGCCAGAGTCCTGCAAAATGACCTCCAGCGGGCCACAAATGTGCATGTGACTGCTCAAATGGTAGGAAACAGACTCCATGAAGGGTAGTATGAAGGCCCAACGTCCACAGGTGGGGGTTGTGCTTACAGCCCAACACTGTGCAGGATGTTTGGCATTTGCCAGAGAACACCAAGATTGGCAAATTTGCCACTGGCGCCCTGTGCTCTTCACAGATGAAAGCAGGTTCACACTGAGCACATGTGAGACGTGACAGGGTCTGGAGACGCCGTGGAGAATGTTCTGCTGCCTGCAACATCCTCCAGCATGACTGGTTTGGCAGTGGGTCAGTAATGGTGTGGGGTGACATTTCTTTAGGGGGCCTCACAGCCCTCCATGTGCTTGCCAGAGGTAGCCTGACTGCCATTAGGTACCGAGATGAGATCCTCAGACCCCTTGTGAGACCATATGCTGGTGCGGTTGGCCTTGGGTTCCTCCTAATGCAAGACAATGCTAGACCTCATGTGGCTGGAGTGTGTCAGCAGTTCCTGCAAGACGAAGGCATTGATGCTATGGACTGGCCCGCCTGTTCCCCAGACCTGAATCCAATTGAGCACATCTGGGACATCATGTCTCGCTCCATCCACCAATGCCACGTTGCACCACAGACTCTCCAGGAGTTGGGGGATGCTTTAGTCCAGGTGAGGGAGGAGATCCCTCAGGAGACCATCCTCCACCTCATCAGGAGCATGCCCAGGCGTTGTAGGGAGGTCATATAGGCACGTGGAGGCCACACACACTACTGAGCCTCATTTTGACTTGTTTTGAAGACATTACATCAAAGTTGGATCAGCCTGTAGTGTTTTTTTCCACTTTAATTTTGAGTGTAACTCCATGAGTTGCTAAATTTTATTTCCACTGATAATTTTTGTGTGAGTTTGTTGTCAGCACATTCAACTATGTAATGAACAAAGTATTTAATAAGAATATTTCATTCATTCAGATCTAGGATGTCTTATTTTTGTGTTCCCTTTATTTTTTTGAGTGTATTTGTTTAGTGTGGTTATTTATTTTAAAAATGTTTATATGGGAAGTCTGCTTAAACACGATCAGTTCTTAATATGGGAAGTCTAGTGGCATGTCGGTTGTAAAATGGAATGTAGAATACTTTTCTTTGTAGACTTATACTTATTTTTGATGCAGTTATTCTACTGTGACTTTCATTGAGAATAATAGTCCTCTTATATTTTCCAACAGAAACTGGTTTCAAGTGATTAGGCTTGCAAAGCTTTTAAAAATCCAAGTCTGACCAAATGTATTTTATTAAAAAGCTACAAATACAGCTCTTTGTGGTTATTTCAACTGTAGGGCAAAACGTCACCCAGCGATTGGAGAACTGTCCATTTCTCGTAACAACAGTAGATGCACAATCTATTAAATGAGAACATTCCACTAAGATAGCTATATGAATAGTAGGACAATACTTTTATCATTGATTCTTCCACAAATAAATATTGCGCTGTTATGTTACTTTATAACTATAAGAGACTTAAACCAAGTTGCTAACAAAGAGTTCAAAAGAAAATTAAAGCCGCCCAATTGAGTAGGTCATTCTGAAGTCCAATATTAACTAACTCTGAACAGGTAAGACTATACATTTTCCCCATAATAGAAATTCCCAATCTCTATGCAAATATCTTTTCCCCCCCTCACCTTTGTTTTGCTTCCTCATCCGAATGGTTGTTTTCTTAAAAGTGGCTGCAATATCATGGTAAACTAAAATAAAGACAAAATATTGCTAAATATTTTGAATCCTGAATTATTTCAATGCATAATTTTAAGCATGTTTACTGTCTGTTTGTTCACAGAAAATCTACTTCTTAAATAGAAAGCAGTACAACACAGGAAATAGAAGCATTTTCATTTGTTGAGTGCGTACTGCTTTGAAAGTTGTCTGAAGAGCAATTTGTACAATGTTTAGATCTTTAACAATATGGCACCAGAATGAAAACCAAGTATATTGATTTTCTGGTTCTGAATCTTGAGAAAACACAAAGCTTTTACTTTTCTATTGCTAGGGTAACATAGATAAGAAGGCAGTTTGGGGCAATCCACAAATTGGTGCAATTAATTTATGTTTGTGTGTTTTATCCAAGTAGCTAATTCAAATGAATCACAGTAGTTACCATGCATAAAAAACCAAGGCATAATCTGGAAGAAAAGGCAAAATAATTTTGCTAGAGCTAATCAGATGTTGATAATCTCAGGGATGGGAGAGGAAAGAGCCTAGGGAACTCTGCAGGCATTCCCGACATTTTCTAATGAATTTGGATAAATTCATGCAAAAGAATGAATAGGTGTAAGATGGAATAAAACAGCTATTCATTCATATGGCCAAAAGAAAAGTTTTATATGGGGCATATTAATCAGTCTAATTTTGCAAGTTTATAAAACTTGGATTTTGAGACAAAGAGATGGAAGAAATAAACAGTTTTATAGTATCTGGGGGAAAATACTGTAACTAGCTCACTTTTAAAATTTCAATTAAAATGTATTTCTAATACTTACTTGTATGATCTTCATATCTTTCAACATAATGTAAATGGCGAATAGCCTTGTTCTTTGCCTGGGGAAACAACATTATTTTTAAAAACTAGAAATGATTAAGAAAATGTACCAACTCAATTTTAAAGTTAAGTCACAGAATTGATAAAAAAAGAAAATATTAAACTTGCTTCTGGGTCAATTATAAACTACAATCTAGTACTTAAATTAAAAGAATCAAAATGATAGTTGGAAGTACTGTCCACTGATGTTAATATTGTTATTGTTAATATCTACTCTCTCCTAGGCTCTCCTACTTTTAATAACTCTTTTATATTTTTAATGCTTGTTTTACAACATTTATTTTTTATTTTATTCTGTATACCACTTAAGAATTACTTTTTTGTGAGATGGATGACTATATACATTTTCTAAATATACTATACTTAACAAATTCTTGTAGATTATTTAGTACGAGATGACACTTTAATAATTTGGGTCATTAAATATCAGCCTTCTTGAAGTCTCCTGGAGACAATAGCTTCCTCAATCCAGATGACCAAATAAGGGGCTAAATTTAATCTAGCAGACTGATATTCAAAAGAAATGTCAAGTCTGAATTAAGGAAACCTTATTATTCTTCACCTAGAACTTAACAAAAAAACATGAAAAATAATTATGATACTAAAAAACAAAGGAAAGAGATGCTTAATTAATTCATCTGGAAAAACTGACTTGCAAACCTTTCTTTTAAAGAAAAGGGAAATTAAAATGGCCCGTGATGAGTAAAAAAAAACAAAAACCTCCAAAGAAATTATATTCCTTCCAAAGCCTTAGTTAGCTCAAAATAAAAAAGGTTATATGCAGAAAATAAAAAAGCAGTTGCATATAGTATTTAAAATCTGTATATATTTGTTGATTTCAATTTGTCATTTTTGATTATGACTTTGAATCATAAATTGGCTTCAACTGAGAAGCCTGATCTGATCCTTTTAAACTTTTGATAACCTATTATTTTCATCAAAATATAAAGAAACTGGTTCTCTTATAATTTCCTCCCTCCCTCCCCTTACTCTAAAAAAGTTAACAGCAATAGGGATTTATTTAGCACAAAGAAAAGCACAAAGTATATGTGAATGCAAATGCAAAGCCACTGTTTCTCTACACATGACAAACAACATCTTTTAAACGGATGCTCTTCCTTGACTTTTAAAATTGTGAAATCTTTCAAATCTGTCTTTTGAAAACATTGCAATTTGTTCAAAAAGAAAAAGAGGAGAAAAAGGAATACAGTCGGCAGAAGAGCCTATCTATCTTTTGAGTATCAGTCTATGTGCAGCAATGGGAATTGAGTGAATCTTTGCCACAAAGTGGCAGCAGTGAATAAGAACGTTCTCCCATCCATACCACTGTCAATTCACAGTCCTTATTATTCCATGAATGATGTCTATGGAATTTGTGATGAGAAGGACCGCTGAAGGACAGAGAATTTATTTCACCCACAAGTTCAGTGTCTGCCAAATGCATATAAAAGCAGCAAATAGAAAGTGATAGGAAAGGTTGTTTATCAGAAATTATGATGTGAGATATTTAACATTTTCCAAATATATTCACAGAAGGGTAGAAATACGAGATTGTGACTTTATATCTCAGAACCATGGAAGTAAACACAGACTTTAATAACAATAAATGGTGTTACACTTTTTTGCATTACATACTTTTCTTAGTGCATTCTTCATGTTAGATGCCTTTCCTAGAGCAAAACCTGATAAATACAAATGGGTTGTTAGAAAACAAGCACCACAAATGGAAACTTGCAAAAAAATGAGGAAACTCCTATATATAGCACCAATGTTTTTTATATGAGAAGAATTTCACCCCAAGGCTGCCCACCATCTTGATTCTTAACTTTTAAACTTTTTATTCTAATTTTGTTTTAAGAACCGTATTTATCGGCGTATAACACGCACAGGCGTATAACACGCATCTTCATTTTAAGAGGGAAATTTCAGGAAAAAAATAAGGGTGGACATCGGCGTATAACACGCATACATCATTTGCCCCCTATTTTCAGGGGGAAAAAGTGCGTGTTATACGCCGATAAATACGGTACTTTTTAACTCTTTATTTTATTGTAAGCTTCCCGGGTTTCTGTATTAGTAAGATGGAAGCATAGAAATTTAATACATACATACATATATACATTCACACATAAATTACATACAATACCAAGGCTTTCCCATGTCTATGCAATATTAAGATTCTATTCCAGTTTCCCCACCAGGAACTTTTAAGAGCTGCAAATATATCCAAGTAACTAGAAGGCACAGGTGGAATTCTTGTTATCTATCTCAGTGAAAAAACCTCACTGAATTTCAAAAAGGAAAAGATCTGCCCCCTTCCACTACCCCCCAAAAATATGCTCCTTGATTAATCTAAGGTTCACTTTTTATTCAGCAAAAGTCTGAGTCACATAAAGATTTGTAATTATATTTTTTAATTTTTATGATAAATAATTGTTAGCATGTAAAAAATTATAAATGGTAAGGGAATCTAACAGACAAATATGGGTAATTATATTGGCCTTGTTGCTGGGCGTTATTTTTGTTCTGAACATAAATAGGTCCCTGATGCTGAGCTTTACAATCTGGGCTTTGCTGCTGCTACAAAACAGATTATTTCCAAGAAGACTGTTGACAGATTTAGAAAGCTTCCTTCCCTGTTTCTTCAGTCTTTGCCAGATTTAGGCAATACTGTGTTGTTGCTACATTTCTGTCCTAATATAGAAACTTCTCTTTTACTTCTTGGGCGATTAACTCATATATGACATATACTGCATACATTTAAATTCTACAAGGAGAAATAAGACAAAAGCAAATAATGGGGCTTATGAAACCAAATGGTAAGAAATAATGAAAACAGCATCACAGGTGAGATAAAAGCTGGAGATGTTTTCAAAAAAGAGCGGGTGGAAGGTTGAATCTGAAGAGCCTGCTGCTGGTCTGTTACCACAAAGTGAAGGCGCATTCATTTGTCTATCCTTCAGTACATGCTTATATCTGAAGTGCTAGGGGTTAACAGAGAACGCTATGAATAGAATCCATTTTCAGTCAATCTTGTTTAAGAGCTGCAATGACAACCTTATTACATACAAAGAAACAGTATCAACACTTAATGTGATTCTCCATCTTTCTGCAGAATAATATTTAGAGGAAGTTACAATATACATTCAAAATGCTTATTCAACCACGCCCAAAGCTATCATTTCGCAAACCTTAAATTTACTGGGATCTTCTGCATCTCAACACGAGTCTGGAAAGTTAGAGCAGACACAAAAGCTATTTGTACTCTTCTTTAATACTAAAAAATGCCTGCCTGATGCTATATTCCCCCAAATGTTAATACATTCAACAAAAGGAAATTTCTACCTCTATTGGAAGGGATTAACTATAGCTTTCCATGCTTTAAGTCATTTATTAGAGGACAATTACTTACCAGCAGATCCTTTTCCATTGCCAACGGCCACAAGCGCCCTCATGGATCTTTTTCGGCCTTCATTTGAAGTCATGTTAAATACAGATCTTACCTGAAGGAAAAGACAGCAATTATTCAATGTGATTAGACTGATTCAGTAACATATATTCTTATTTTTTTAACATGAACAAAGAGTTGTGATCCCCGCCCCCAATGATTTGGGATTGGAGGGAAGTTATTCATTTGGAAGATTATTATACTGTTTTTCTGAGGTAGAGATGAGATCGAGGACCCTTGGTGCTCTCTGAGGTTGGTTGCTTTCTTGCCAAGTTTCATTATCCAAATTAGGGGTAATGAAATGTCTGCACGAAAATATATAGGCTGCTCTAACTGACAATGATTCTAGGCAGGGTACAAGGAAGTCATACACAGAGAAAAAAGGAGTACAACACAGACCTGATTAAAAGCTATAATAATAATTTTTAAAAATCCCATTGGTCCCCAATAACTAATTGCCCTAATGGCCAAGTGCCTCAACCACCAAGTAAAGTAATAATGGTAAGAAAAATCAATTCCAGGTGTCAAAATGTTACCTGTCTCTATTGGATTGGAACTGTTATTACATATAACCTGTATTAACATTGCCTAATACAATAGGAGGTTTTTCCCACTATGAAAAACACAGAAGCCTAGGTGCAACAAGATCTTGACTGGGTTCCATGAGAGTAAAGATTAAAAAAAAAACACATCCAAATGCAGCCAATTTTCCATCACTATAGTTTTTGCTTCTTAATCAGGAGTTTTGGGGACTTAAAAAAAAAAAAACGTAAGTAGTACCACAGCCTGAAATTTTTTTTAAAAAAAGCACTCTGGACCACATGCATGTTTTAGATGTTTTCAAATATTCTTTTACAGGTAGTCCTTGACTTACAGGCTTTTGTCTAGTGACCATTCCAAGTTACAATGGGACTATAAAAAATGACTTATCACCAGTTTTCATACTTATGACAGTTGTAGCATCCCCACAGCCTCGTGATCAAAATTCGGATGTTTGGCAACTGGGTCATATTTATGATATTTGCAGTCATGCGATCATCTTTTGCAACCTTCTGACAAATAAAGTCAAAGGACGAACCCAGATTCACTTAACAACTCTGTTATTGACTTAACAACTGCAGTGATTCACAACTATGTCAAGAAAGGTTGTAAAAAGGGACAAAATTCACCTGTCTTGCTTAGCAACAAAAATGTTGAGCTCAATTGTGGGCCATAAGTCAAGGACTACCCATTTAAGCAAAGTACTGACAAGTTTAACGTATCATTGTGATGTACTATTGCAGCCTTATGTTTTATGCTGCTTGAAGTCACCAAGATTTTGCAATGTCTAAATGTTAATCAGGATAAAGTAGAGCTTGTACATGCATTTTTATGGGAAAAGGGAATCTTTAAGGAGAAAAGATCCACATATAGATGATTTGCAAGATATGCTCTCTGTGTTAAGCAAACCTTGGGTCAACAGAAATTTGCAAGTATGCTTCTTAAGATCATACACTGATCTATGGGAAGAAAATGTATGGCTTTCATATTATCAGGAAAGCTGTTTTAAGAACCACTGCTCTAAGATTATGTATAGTCTGTACAAGTACAGAATGGCTCCACCTTCCCAACTCTGGATTAAATGTCAGAGCACCAGGTGTTCCTTAAATAAGTCTGGAGACAATGTTCACCATGAATAATGCTAACCAAGACTTCTTATTAAACCGGGATTGAAAGATTAGCACATTCTAACTAAAAGTAGGAAGGCTTGCTATGGATTGGGAGAACACAATTCCACGGACTACTCGGTATTTCTTAAAAATGTGTGAAATGTTGCATTTGTCTTAGACTGCAGATAAACTGGTGAATGAAAAGGCAGGAGAGCAAGGCTCCTTTCTTCCTTTCCAGCAGATGGCAAAAGCAGCACACAGAAACAAGTCAACCAAGAAGTGACTGTCTTTAAAAAAAAAAAAAACTACCCACGTCAGCTGTTTTTGTGTAGCTTAGAAAGAAAATGTGCCCAGTCACCCATCACAATCACAGCTATCACATCTCTCTCAAAATTCCATACTTTTCAAGCTTGGTCACATGTACAGGCAGCCATGGACTGGCACTACCTTTTTCCGTTCACTGAGCATTGGCAATTAGTTCACTTCCTTCCCCTTTGTAGAAAAAAAAAATATCTTGGTGCATTGCTAAGAAATTTATAACTCTTACAGATATGAAAAAAAGCCCTTACTTTGGAGTCAGTACTATCATGTCCTTCAGAATCCAGATAATTCCATGCTAAACATAATCACTCAGGTATCTAATACCATCCTCTGTTCAACAAGATTTTTACTCAGCAAATTTATTTAGAATGTACACTTTAAGGAAAGGAGGATAAAAAAGCATGCTTGCATAGATATATGTGTAAAGGTGAGGGAGAATCACAAGTACTGTACATTGATTACATCCAGGTTGCTACAGAACAGCTTTTCTCAACCTCAGCAACTTTTAAGATGCATGGATTTCAACTCCCAGGATTCCTCAGCCAACACTTTCCGAGACAGTGGACAGAAGAATAAAACTACTGCACTGTTTTCTTTTTAAAGACTATTCTACTCTGTTAGTAACTAGAAATGTAAAACATGCTAATAGACATATTTAATCCCTCTACAACTGCTAACTTGTCAGTCAAAGCAAAAATTATTTCAATGATGACAAACATCACTTCATAACCCAAAGCTCAATATACGAAATTTTAATAACATTACTGTTATGTATTAAAGAGAGATCAGAGAAAATTCCTTATAGAAGGAATATCACGTTTATGTTTCTCTCAGGTAATGTGGAAGTGGAGCCTTAAATCATGTATAGTCAGTGTAGATAAATATAGTGACAGACAAAATATAGTGATAGACAAAATTATAGATTTTTTAATATAGCTGTTAAAGAAGAGACACCATGAGTTACTCTGTGCTGAGTAGCAATAAAAATCAAAATGCCAAGGACTTAGCTTAAGGACTAATAAGAAAATAATCATTGAAATCATAGCAAATTCTATAATTATATAGATCATCAATAGGCAGTACACAATCACTTTCATTCTATATTGCATGGGACTTGGCAGAAGTATATTCCTAAATCTTACTTTTATGGGGTTTCAAACCAGAATTTGAACTCCTGAACCAATGTACAAAATTTTGAAGCTTTCCAGTTCTGGTGCTCAGCAATACAAGAAGGGACGTGTTGACTTTAGCATATACCATTCCACATCTTTAGAAAACTTTTAATTTACCTTTGAACAGAATCCCAAGGGAACCATTAAGTATTGCTTTTATGATGCAAATTTAAGGTCAAAACAACCTCTTAATGCTGGACTAAAGGACAAGCCAAATACCCTTCACCATAAATTACTTGTGTACAAAAAAAAACTCTGAAGGTGTAGTCTTAGGCAAAAGCTAGGAAGCTATTAACAAATACAACATCCAATATGCAGATATTTACTATCCTGTTGCATCAGCAAGACAGATTAATCAGTGTTTTCAGAAGGGTACCATTAGGATTCATTGTTCATAAAATACTAGTAATGCTGCTTTGGCATCTTTGTTCAAAAAGCAGTGTCTTCTACAGTATAATTAATTTTCAGGAAAATGCTGATTAGCGTAGGCCAACAGTCAAGCACTCTGCAGAACCATTCCCCTTATTAACAGAAATGGAAACAAAAGTAACAAAGGGAACTATATAATCATATATAAGCCCCCTACCATTAATTATTCCATGGTGTCATTTCTGTTTGAATTATTCTATTATTATATCATTCACATGTTGGTATAACTTGCATATTTTAATACAATTTGATATACAGTATAGAGTTGATATACACAATTGTACTTTGCTAGGTTCTGTCAAATTTTCTGTTACTTGCCCAGAATGCTTTTTGTTGAATGGATGGCCAAACAAATGTTTGAAATAGATCATAAATATTAATGAAAATATGCATATATTACAATACCGTAGTGTTCCTTGATATATTATGAAAGTGTATGGATTCTTAATATAACGCTAACTTATTATTTGGTACTTTAATACTGCTACCCTCAAAAGTAAACACATACTTGCATCTAAAAAAAAGATTGCAGAACACTATGAAAGTGGGAAGGGGAGGACACAAAATTATGATCATTTTTATACTGCTTATAATTTAAAACTTCCTCCTCTTCAATGAAAAACATACGCTTAACAGTTACATTCTGAATTATTTGCTGGTCCTTTCCAAATTATTGAGTGACTCAATAATTTAAATCATTAGTTACAAGATTTTAAGATTTTTGTGAGAAAAATAGATTCATCTTAACTGACAAAACCTCAGCAGTTTTCAAAAACTTTATTCTTCAAGTGTTTTCTGATAACACTAATAAATTTAAAGCTATGTAACTCTGAATCAAGATACTGTAAGGCTGGACATATTTTCTAATACAATGGTTTCAGATTATTTTTCCCAATGTAATCTGTGTCAGGATTCCGGCAGTTACTCCAATTAAATCATGAGCCTTGAGCCATACTCCCAAAACTAAAAAAGATTTATTTGAAGGTAACATTCTACCTCCGGCATTTACCTGGGCGTAGCCAACTCTGAGATACATAATTCACTGTCACCCTCGATCCTGCTTTCCCCGCCATGCCTCTGGGTGTATCATCCAATGAAAAATGTCCATAGCCAAGAGTCATCAATCATGCTCTCCAATTAGATTTCTGCCATTGGTAGAAGCTTTAGTCATCTAATCAGTGACAATCTGCTTGATTTGTTGTTGTTACTATTATTTAATATTATTAAATGTTACGCATTTTTGTCTAGATCCTTTACATTGTTGTAAATAGCTCTTTGCTTCTATTATATTTGGAAGTCATCTTTCCATTATAATGTCTCTTTATTTCTTGAAATGAGTACAGGTAGTGTTCTAATTAGTGACTGGGTACTTAATGACAGTTCCAAGTTACAACGGGCCTCCCCAGAGCTACATATGATCTGATTCTGAAATTCCAATAGCTGCATCTCCCACTACAGTCACACGATCACATTTCGAGTGCTTGGCAACTGGCTTGCATTTACTGATGTTTGCAGTGTCCTCAGTCATGTGACCACGATTTTCAGCATTTTTTGCAGGTTTTAAGAATTTATTTCTGCTTTCTGGCAAAAAAATGGCCATTGAAGAAAATGAATTTCTTTAACGACCATGGCATTAGCTTACCACCGCTGCAAAAAATGTTGTACCATTGGGCACAATTGCATCATGACCCACTGAATGATGCCCATGACTTACAACGGCAATTCCGAGCTCAATTACCATCAAGCACTACCTGTAACACATTCATTTAAAAACTGAAGTAGAGTCTCTTGGGAGAGCAATCAAGCTACCATTTTAAAATTGAAACAAAAATATTATGCTCTTTCCTTTAAGAGTATTAAAATAAAAATTAATTTTCACAGTTCATTACAATTAATTTAGTCCCACAGCACCTCTAACAAGTTGTTCAAATGCACTTGTGACCCATCTTCATCTATTTGTCTTAATGGCTTGATCTGTATTTTGCTGTGAGCTTTTTGGCACTCTAAAATCCTTGGATGGAAAAGCAGCAGCTGCTGAATTGCCAGTGGCATTAAGGGCTTAACATGAAATTCTTTGCCCTAATTTCCTCTAATCTTTTTGCTGAGACATCCCAAGCCCTGCTTTCACAGTTTGGCTAGTAGAAACATATTCATTAAAATTATGAACGGCATCAAAAGAATGGATGAGTTTTCTAGTCTCTCTTTCTTAAGAATCTTAATTTTTGTCTCATAATATTACCTAGGCCTTGTGACCATGGAGATAGTCTTGAAAATCTGACAGATGCTTTGCTATGATCTGTGCCTGGATTCTATATACTTTTGAAATAGCAAGTTGCCTCAAGCTGTATATAGCATGTGTCTGCCACCACTTGAACATATGCTCAAAAATCTCAGTGACAGAGCACATGTTTGCGTTCAGATATCTCAAGTGTAATCCTTGGCTTTTTCTATTAAAAAAGCAGCAGAGGTTTTTTTAAGTCCTACTGTTACTACTAATAATCACATTTCTAGATATACTAGACCAAAGTTTGGGTAAGAGAGATCCTTTGTTTTTTCATGCTCCACAAGGCTCCTCTACAAGGCAGCTTCATTCTGGTGGCTATCCTAACAGAAAAAAAATGAAGAAAAAAAGAAAATTGATTTCTTTCATTCTATCTTCACAGGAAAAAAAATCAAGAAAATGCCGAAGCCGAGCACTTGCTCCAAGAATCAAGACATGACTGAGGTGTACAAAATTATGCAAAGTATGGATAAAGTGGAGGAGGAGAAGCTATTAGAACCAGAGATCACCTAATAAAAGTGAATTCTGAAAGAATCAGGACAGAGATTTTATTTTATAGTGTGAAATTAAATTTTGGAATTCACTGTGAGATAAGGTACTTGCTGGCTTCAAAAAGAATTAACCAATTCATGTAAATTAAGGGGAACAATGGCCACTAGCCTTGATGGCAGTGTGATTGCTTTTGAAGACCATCTGCTGGGAGACTAGTGGACTACCTTGTGCAGTTGACTGATCACTATGGGAACAAGCTACTGGACTAGATGGGCCAGAGATCTGCTGCAGCAGAACACTAGTTACTTTCTTACTTGTGCACATGTACTAGTACTTACATGTGCATGGCCAGATAATATTAGAAGGCCATCAAAGCAGCAACTTTACACCTTCCAAAGGATTTCATGGATTCCTTTATTTCTTTCCTTTCTGAGCAGCAGATCCACAAATATACCCTGCTAACACAACAAAAGGTTTCATATAGGGGTGGCATTCAAATTTTTTAACAACCCGTTCTGTGGACGAGGCTTAGTTGGTGGGCGTGACTTGGTGGTCATGTGACTGGGTGGACGTAGCTTGGTGGTCATGTTATTGGCTGGGCATAGCCAACTCAATATCACTCACATTGTGGCACACATCTCTTCGCCTGGCCTCTCATGACTGTGGAGGTGCTGCAACAGTCGTAAGTGTGAAAAATGGTCATAAGTCACTTTTTTCAGTGCCATTGTAACTTTCAATGGTCACTCCACACAAGCAAAGTGCCAACAGAGGGGGAAAAAACTCCAGAGAAGTTCCTGAGTCAGGAAGTCTAGTCCTGCCAAGAATGTAATAAGGGTTAACGGAGAGGCGGTTTCTATAAGCAACACCAGAACGTTTCCTTCCTGCCTTTCTTACAGGATTAGGCCAGTAATTTCTTCTAACAAACGGTTCTCCGAACTGCTTAGAATGTTAACAACCGGTCCTAGCGAATAGGTATGAACTGGTAGAATCCCACCCTTGGTTTCATATAGTACTCATGGTCAGACCAAAAGCACTTTCAATACTTGATTTAGTCTGGAGCAAAGCTTTCAACCTAACTATTTTAACAGCACAGTCCTAGGATTAAAACTACCTGATATCAAAGGAAAACCCGCTGCCTGAGAGAAGAGTTCATACACAGAACAATTTAACACTGATACCTGTTCTCTCCATGTTCCCATCACTCATAAGGCTGAATTCCACACATAGATTCTTCTCAGTTTGGCATCTTACATTACTTTGAGGGTAGAGAAAGCCAGCAATAGTATGGACCGAGACAACCTTCAAATGTTTCTGGGTCTCTGGCATTCAGCATTCAGTAGTGTATTAGAAATAAATAACTTCCAGATAATTACAAATTAATATTCATCCAGTTCATTTCTGCAACCCTTTACAGGTTGATTAAAATAGAGAAGGAAATAATTTATTGTAGCATCTAAACCCAGAGTCTTCTGTTGCTCCCAAACATTTCAGAATAAAAATAAGCAGTAACTGCAACACTGGGCACACTGCCAATGGAATGCAATTGACGCTAACTATGAGCAAAGATTGAACAAAGGACAGTGAAAATAATTTTTAAAAGACTTGCGTGATCATTTTTTTTCCTCTGAGGATTACTAAATCAGATATATAATTTAAAAATCCTCATTGATATCAATGGAAGTGTGTGTGTGTGGGGGGGGGGGTTGTAAGAAAAATCACACCTGCATTGGCATGACAGTCATTTCTTTCAAGGCACACTTACTTGAAATTCAAGTGTTTGGTCTTTGTTGCCTACCAAACTTGTTCACCCTCATTAGAAGAAAGCAAAGCTGACCACAAACTTTGCTTGATCTGCCTTAGTGGAATATGTAAACTTGGGATAAGGATCAGGGACCATGATCACAGTGTATAAAATCACAGACAGACAATGAAAGTGGCAGAAGAACATTTTTCTCCCTTCTCAGTAGGTTCTCCAATAAAGCTAAAAAGATTTAGGTTCTCCAATAAAGCTGGAAGATTTAGGACAGAACCATTCCTTCAATGCTACATTAATTAGCACAGAATGTGTTGGTCTGGAAGGAAATTGGATCCATTCACAAAGATCTATCTAACATGAAACTAAAAGCCAACTATGCAGTGGTGGGATTCAAATATTTTTGCCACCGGTTTGGTGGGCATGGGTTGATGGGCGTGCTTTGTGCATGTGCACGCATTTTGCATGCACGCACACGCCAAACGCACACTTTGTGCAGGCGCACAGGCGTTCTAATTTGCCTCCTGCAAGCCTACACAATCCCGGTGGCTTCAGCAGCTGCCACGCAGCACTATTCTGTGCCGCGCAAAGCAGCTGCACTTCAAATTCAGCTGTAAGTATGGGAGCCCGGGTGGGAGGGCAGGCCCAAAAGCAGGGCAGCGGAGAGAACTGGTTCGATCTCCGCTGCTCATTGCTACTACTGGCTCACCAGAACCGGGCCGAACCGGTAGAATACCACCAACTGTAACTATGGCATTTCAAATCTCATCAGGCTCAAGGTTGACTCAGCCTTCCATCCTTCCAAGGTGGGTGAAATGAGAACCCAAATTGTTGGGGGGAATAGGCTGACTCTGTAAACCGCTTAGAGAGCTATAAAGCAGTGTAAAGCAATATATAAGTCTAAGTGCTATTGCTTAAGGAAAAAACCCCAAGTCTAATGTTTTTCAAGAGCAGAAATACAAAAAGTGATCCTGACTCCCCCCCACACTTTATATAATTTTATTCTGGCATTCTTTTGGTTTGGATAAAATGCAGATTAATTGAAGAATCTGTTCTATGTCTATTCGCTTTCATGTGATTAACCTAAAAACTTTATTACTTTTTCAAAATTGATCAGAAATATCCTCTATTCAAAAAATGCTCTCTTCAAATTATGATATTAGTTTTTATTGACCTTGACGCAGCACATTTTACTTTGAGGTTGTAATACATGATTTCAGAATCTATTGGTCTGATAAATTCTTGTTTTAAAGACCAGGCCCGCACAACATGTGGCTCACCAACAGCCTTTTGCAACCTGCTAGTGGTTTTTCAAAAGTTAATACATTTACTGCCATTGCCCCCAAAGACACCCGGCCAAGCACCTCCAATGTCTCAAAGCTTCACTGTCATTTTGCTAGCTGTCGAACAGTTGATTGGTACACCTGATGTTCCTTTGTGGCCCGCAAATGATTTTTAATTTATTAACGGGGTCCTTTCTCCTCTATAAGTTGCACAGGTCTGCTAAAGAGCTACAGTGAAAGGAATAAAATTTACACTGGATTTTAAACATTGCTTTTTATATTTAAAGACACGTAAGCTTACATTTTTAATAAAAAAAACCTCTTACCTCAAGTACTCTGCTATCAAAATCTTCAAATGTTTCTGTCAGTTAAGGAGACATGTATAAGTGATATGCTGCATATACAATATCCATATTATTTTCCATGAACAATTAAGGTGCATCTCATCACAATCAGACCTCTGTGGAATCAAGTCATGTGGAGTACCACTAAATTATACAGATGTTGGAATTGGCCTTCAAGGAATCTTTTGATGACCACAGTGGTACATCAATGGCCTTGTTCTATGTGAATACCACTGTTTTTTAACTTAGGACAAATATGAACCAGTCCACGCAGCAATAAGAGGACACTAATGAACTGGAACATCTATTCCATAAGGAATGAAAGTCCCTCAAGAACAATAGCCATTTGTGAAATGCAAATGGAAAGTATAAAAAGAAGGAGTAGGACTACATTTTGTTTTGCCCTTTTTATTTTTTAAAGTGTTAAAATGTAATTAAGTAGGCAGCATCAAATTATAAAGCAAGCATATGACAACCATTTTACTTAAATTAATTTTGAAATGCCTTATTCACCTAAGTATTACCTGGACAAGCAATCAAGCACAGATCAGATTGTATTTAAATTAAACAGAAACAGCCAGGCGGTAAATGCTTACTTTTACTATGCCAACACTACAATAGGATGTCTAGAAATGAGAAAACAATTAATATTTCTAACTGTATTCTAGTTTCTCCAGTAAGTTCATTTTCCAAGAGACCCAACAGGCAAATTATACTGAGCCAATTTCTCTAGAATTCTCTCTGCTCTGGGTGTTCAATTCTCCCCATAGTTACTGGGGAAATGGTGAATTTATTATCATAATTTGTTAACATTACAAGACACTAATTTGAATTTCTGGACAGTTCACAACTTTAAATACCCATTAACAACTTGGAGAATATGGCAATTGAGATATATTCTGAAACTTTTCCAAGGTGTTTTAATAAATATTTGCAGTTATTAGATATGATCAAAATCTACACAGTAACTTTGTAGCCTGAAATAATAGTGTGGAATATTACATGTATCTTCCCATCCTTTCTTCTTAAGATACAGTATTAGCAAGGAAACAATTTCCCTTCAGAACTAGGTTTTTGTTTGTATGTTTGTGGGTGTGATCTCTAGTCTTCTACATGGCCTTCCATTTATGTACACTGCTCAAAAAAATAAAAGGAACACTTAAATAACACAATGTAACTCCAAGTCAATCACACTTATGTGAAAGCAAACTGTCCACTTAGGTAGCAACACTGACTGACAATCAATTTCACATGCTGTTGTGCAAATGGAATAGACAACAGGTGGAAAGCATATAGGCAGTTAGCAAGACATCCCCCAAAAAGGAGTGGTTCTGCAGGAGGTGACCACTGACCACTTCTCAGTTCCTATGCTTTCTGACTGATGGCAGTGCTTGCACTCTAGTGGTAGCATGAGACGGAGTCTACAACCCACACAAGTGGCTCAGGTAGTGCAGCTCATCCAGGATGGCACATCAATGCGAGCTGTCTGTCAGCGTAGTGTCCAGAGCATGGAGGCGCTACCAGGAGACAGGTCAGTACATCAGGAGACATGGAGGAGGCCGTAGGAGGGCAACAACGGAGTATCAGGACCGCTACCTCTGCCTTTGTGCAAGGAGGGACAGGAGGAGCACTGCCATAGCCCTGCAAAATGACCTCCAGCGGGCCACAAATGTGCATGTGGCTGCTCAAACAGTCAGAAACAGACTCCATGAGGGTGGTATGAGGGCCTGACGTCCACAGCTGGGGTTTGTGCTTACAGCCCAACACCGTGCAGGACGTTTGGCATTTGCTAGACAACACCAAGATTGGCAAATTTGCCACTGGTGCCCTGTGCTCTTCACAGATGAAAGCAGGTTCACACTGAGTACATGTGACAGACGTGACAGGGTCTGGAGACACTGTGGAAAACGTTCTACTGCCTGCAACATCCTCCAGCATGACCGGTTTGGCAGTGGGTCAGTAATGGTGTGGGATGGCATTTCTTTAGGGGGCCGCACAGCCCTTCATGTGCTCGCCACAGGTAGCCTGACTGCTATTAGGTACCGAGATGAGAACCTCAGACCCCTTTGTGAGACCATATGCTGGTGCAGTTGGCCCTGGGTTCCTCCTAATGCAAGACAATGCTGGACCTCATGTGGCTGGAGTGTGTCAGCAGTTCCTGCAAGACGAAGGCATTGATGCTATGGACTGGCCTGCCCGTTCCCCAGACCTGAATCCAATTGAGCACATCTGGGACATCAAGTCTTGCTCCATTCACCAATGCCACGTTGCACCACAGACTCTCCAGGAGTTGGGGGATGCTTTAGTCCAGGTGTGGGAGGAGATCCCTCAGGAGACCTCATCAGGAGCATGCCCAGGCATTGTAGGGAGGTCATACAGGCACGTGGAGGCCACACACACTTCTGAGCCTCATTTTGACTTGTTTTAAGGACATTACATCAAAGTTGGATCAGCCTGTAGTGTTTTTTTCCACTTTAATTTTGAGTGTAACTCCAAATCCAGACCTCCATGGGTTGCTAAATTTGATTTCTATTGCTAATTTTTATGTGAGTTTGTTGTCAGCACATTCAACTATGTAATGAACGAAGTATTTAATAAGAATATTTTCATTCAGATCTAGGATGTCTTATTTTTGTGTTCCCTTTATTTTTTTGAGCAGTGTATATAATTTGGTATTAGCAGTATACACAGAATATGAAACCACCAAAGAAATATTTTTCTAGAGAATAAAATATTCATTCTTTTCATAATTATCTCACCTCCATTGGGACCAGGATCAGGAGGTCCTAAACTGACACCTCCCCAGGATCGTCCAGTCCAACCTCTTTCCTTCTTAATCCGTACTCTCTTTCTTTTGTCAAATTGCTTTTGTTCCTCAGCTTTTGCTAACTGCAAAGCCTTCTGCTCTTCTTCATTTCTCTGAGTAATGCTTTGAACTTTTCCAGATACCATCAATGGAGCATTGAGACCAGGCCAAAGGAAACCAATTTTTCCTGAACACATCAACACAAAACGATTACAACAAATACAAATTACAAACAAATTACAGCAAATCATGGATTTTATTTAGGATACTATCAACCTACACTTCTGAGCAAATATCAGAAGTCATAAAATGACTTTGTTGCACTCATTCACTTTATATGTATAGCTTATCATGGCACCTTAAGGAAGATTAAAACTGTAAAAAAGTGGCAGACATTTTTGGCTAACCAGAATTTGCAAAAGTTTAATTGTTTTTAATAAGAGAACCCAACTATCTAGAATTCATGACTGAATTTATTACTGAAAGTGAGTCAACTTTTACATACAATATCTCCCTCTATTCCAACTTGGAATCAATTCTTTTCAAGTAGAAAACTTATTTCCTGAAATAAATTCTGATTATCACTCTCTGGCTATTTTGAGCACCCCAAGGAAATCCTTATAAATACAATATTATTATGTGAATTCTGCAATAAGAAATTGCAGTATATCCTCATATCCTAAGGTAAGTCTTTCTGCTGGGATTCAGCAGTAATTCCTTCCGCACATGGTTGACTCTATTACAGTATAAGATGGAATGAGGGCACAATTTACCTCATGCAGCATATGCTAGGGAATCTGGAGAAAATAGCAATGATAGCTTCCCCACACCATTATTGTTTCCCAGATATTCCCACTCCAAAAAGACAGCTATCTTCCCTAGGTAAGCTATCTTTACTTCCTACAATACCATCTTACTATTTGGGAGGTTTTCTTTTCCAATTAATTAACTTTTGGCAACAAACAGAGCTGGAATTAATTAATTTGCTCTGAGCCTTTGTAGTTTTAATGAGCAGGATTTCCCAAACTGTGAACTTTCCCTTTTTTTGGAAAAAATTTTAAATCCCATCTTTATTATTTTCATAAATAACTCAAGGCAGAGAACATAACTAATGTTCCCTTCTTTTATTTTCAACAATTTTGAGAGTTGGGCTAAGAAAGACTGATGGACCCAAAGTCACCCAGCTGGTTTTCATGCCTGAGGTGGGATTAGAAATTCAGTTTTCTGATTTTTAGCCTTGTGCCTTAATCTCTGGCTTCCTTACGTTGTTATATTATAATCCCTTACATTGTTTACTCCTTTACATTATTATAAAAGTCCACCCTCCCAAAAGTTTCATTGTATTGTTTTCATTGTTCACTTGTGCTGATTTTGGTATTTGGATTTTTAGGGGTAATGTGTACACTAAAGGGAAGTGTAGCGGCAAAAAATTTAACCCCTGTTCCTTCTAATTTCTTATGGCCCTGATTTAACTAATAGTGTTATCATATCAGCATCCAAGTTCAGTAGTAGTTAGACTGATTCCAATAATTAATCCCTTCTGGATTCTGCATTATTTCATGAGTTTACCTTCGCCAAGGACCTGGCCTCTATTGAGATCCCTCGTTTTTTTCCGCTTGCCTCGCTTGCCTCTCCCTTTCCTTCCACCTGCAGTATTCTCTGCTGCAACTCCTTTCCAGAGTTCGTTGGCTGTCACTGTTATGAAACAGATGTCTATAAGTTGTCCAAATCATAATATATTTTAACAGCAGTTCAAATGAAGAAAAAAGTATATGCTATTGACTCTTATGTTTAAACCAGCTATACCTCAAGTAAAATATACCTCAAACAGCTGCTAAGATGGGCTTGCACTTAATTTGTTTGCAGAACAGTATTTACTGAAGTTAACACCAAATTTATAAGACAACACAGAAACATAATGACCTGCTGTCTGGAGGTTAGGTCACGGCAACCATTGACTTCTTTTCTTTTTGGTTTGAAATGTTTTGCTGCTTATCCATGTAACTTCTTCAGTCTGAGAATTGTCATCATCATGATATATTACCTAACAATTGCATCAATTTATACCAGGGCTGTCAAATCTGCAGCCCATGGGCTGGATGTGTCACATACTGGTCAGGCCCATGCCTGGTTTAGCGAATGAGAAATTCGCTATATGTCACGTGACGCTGCAAATTTGATACCCCTGATTTATATAATCTTTAAAAAAAAGAATATCAAATAGTTATTTCCATTTCCAAGTGCCTTCCAAAGTGTAAAACTGTATATAGCCATAGGACTACAGGTAAATCTTTGGGATATGATGGCAATTCTGGTAATCTCAATTGCCATCGCTAAACAAGGACTGCATGGGTTGTTCTGCAAGGATCTTAATAACTGCAATTTGAGATTTCCTGCCATATTCCTCACTGACTATGCTTGTGACAAGCTGACACGAGAAAGTCACAAATCATAATCACATGTCTGCAGGTATGCTGCGATAGTCAGAGCTATGAGAACATGGCATAAAATAACATTCATTCTGCACCACTATATATCATTCATTCATGTTCTGTGGTTATGGGGTCCACATTTGGGCGCTTGGCAGCCCAACCTTATGACCACATGGCAGGTGCTTCAACTTACCCCAGCAATCCATATCCCTCCCATCTTTGCCTTTTTGGCACCCACCACTTGCCGCCCAGTGCTCTGCAAACCCTGGTTAACCTTTGCCTTCTTGCTCCTGCTGCTGATCCATGCATGCCCAGCCTGGCCCTTTGCAAGGCAACTGCTAGCTGCACAAGGCTTTCTTCACAAGGTCGTGAACCAAAGCTTCCTTGCACGATCTGGTGAAGAAGGCCTTGTGCTGCCTCATGTGGAGGGTTACGCTCAAGTTACCTCATCAGCAGCAGGAGTAAGAAAACAACAAACATCAACTGGAGCAGTGAAGCGAGGGTGGCTAGGGTCTAGGGAGTGCAAGGTAGTGAGAGGAGCTGGGGCAGGGTCTGTGTGCCACACTGCTGGGCTGGGCTGCAGCGGCTTCTCAGGTTGGTTATGGCTTTGGACCACATTACTGGGGCTTCCGCAGAGAACCAGAGGCTTGACACCATGCTGCTGGACTGAGTTGGGGCTTCCTGGGGCTTTTGTACTTTGCTGTGGCTTGAAGGCTTAGAGAAACAGTGCAGCAAGCAGCCCGAGCTGCATGATTGTAGGGCTACTTGCTGCCCCAGAAAGCAGGATGCATGATAGGCAAAAGGGCAGAGATGGGGGCAATAGACAGTTGGGGGGAGTTCTAATGGCTGGGATGGGTAGGCCAGTCAGATTAGACCTGGGCTTCAGAATAAAATGATATTTTTAGTGGGACTTACAAACTGCAAAGGAGATGCTGATCTTTAATATGAAATTAGAGTATCAAGATTATAATTGATAAAAGGCCAAATTAATAAGATCCAACCAAGTTCATGCTAGAACCCATTCTGATGTGTTTTCTTGTTTAGGTTCATAAAGAATACATTACAGATGGTGACTACAGCAGGAACTGTTTAATTGTGCCCTGAGGATGAGTGCCTTGATTCTGTATTCCATACTCTTTTCTTCCCATCAACCACATGACTCATCACTTCTAAAAAAATCAATTCTCTGCTCCTCTTCCGCCGTCAATATGGAGCACAGCAGAATCAATTCACAGCTGGTAGTGACAATACTGCTAAGTGCTACTTAAAATATTCCAGTCTTTCCTGAGGTGACCATGCGTGGCTAATATAAAAGAAAGGAATACTTCAAATAAATTTCAAAATATGGAAACTTATAGCACTTAACTAGTCAGAGGCACAACAAAGACTGTCAAATGTTCATCAGGAAGCTAATAATTCATTCTTATTCTCTTCAGTTAATAAAGATACAGAAGATTTTAGGAAATGTGGATTGGCTTAGCTCTAATCAAGCTTACTTCAAACTCCAACAATTCATCTCTGCTTCAGACGCACACGAAAGGGAGTTCATCTTTTGCATGTTAATATTTTGATTCATCCAATATTGATGCTACATGGAGGATCTAATCTAATCTAAATTATTTTCTTTTCTTGGCTATTTCCAGCCAGTGTTAAAGGGATCTAGCTCATGATTCTCTGCTTTGCGGAGTACCTCAGAGTTTTGTTCTTTCTCTGGTCTTAACATCTGCATGAAGTCACTGGGCAAGGTCATCTGTTGACCTGGAGTGCGATATACTTCATATGCTAATAAAACTCAGTTGTACATCTCTATCCCTCGGCTGACCAGGCAGTGCTCCCAAGGTCCTTTCCCACTGTCTGGAGGGCATGAGGGTCTGGATAGGAGTGACTAGGCTTCAGATCAAACCCTGGCAAAACTCAATGGCCATGGACTTTAAGGCCATCTAGCAGTGAGGATTTTCCTCTTCTGCATGGAGGTGTGGTAAAAGTTGGTGCACAATTTGTGGGTCTTTCTGAACACGTGGCTCCTGCTCAAAGGGTTTTTTGCACAGATATGTCTTAGGTATTGTTCCCATTCCCAGAACAGTGTTACACACGGTGACTCACTTGGATTATTGCATGTAGAGTAGAGTTACTTTTGAAGAGCATTTAGAAACTGTAGCTGATGAAAAATTTATCATGCAGATAGTTGTTAGCATTTCTTCTTATGCCTATAAAACAATGCTACTCTGTAAGGTTTAGGTGTGATTCCAGTTATTGGTTATCAGCTACAAAATCCTACATCAGAGAGGACCAGGCTAATTGTGGGACTACCTTTTTCCTTTTGTTTCCCTTATCCCACCAGATCTAGAGAAGCCCAGGTCCTTTCTATCAAACAATGTCATCTTGTCTAGAGTCATGTCTTCCCAAGGGTAGCGCTTGCCCAATGGAATCATATTCTTCACAGATTCAGATGGCCTCAACCCTGAATTGGAAACCTGGCTATTTGGGTCAGGTGGTTAGGTGGCTCTACTATTGTCAATATGGTTTTTTTTCTGGTGAGAGGAGTTATTGTTCATCTTTGGATACTTGCAGTTATATATTTTGGGTTTTGCTGTGTCTGTAATCCTTGTCAGTCGCCCAGAGTTACTTCTGTAAGATTGGCAACTATAAATACATACATGCATATAACTCAAGACTACTGGGTCCTTTAACCTCTACCCTTCTATCAGATATTCTACTATGAGCCACAGTCATTATCTGAAATATAAGTGCTAAGAAAAAAAAAACATTGCAAAAGAGTTTACATCATGTAGCATGATCCAATGTAATTGAATATATAATTAGGGAAAAATGGTAATATTCTCAAAGTAGTTTTGATCCTCTAAATGTTACCAAATTACAGTTTGCAAATCAAACACCATTTGCCATTTTGAGAGGAGTTGCTTATGGTTGAAACTGAGTAATTATCTGAAGGACTTCAATGTCCATCTCTGGTAAGATTGGACTAATCAACACCGATCAGCTCTGATTGTGAGAACTTTAGGGATCCACCAGAGTATTTTAATTTAGCCAACTGAGGAATCATGTAAACTCTTAAGCAGCTCAAATTCTATGAGAGAATTTGAGGCTACACTATGGTAGTTAAGGATGGTAAACCAGGCCCACTTTTCTACCCTGAAAGTGTCCACAGAAGGTCAGGCAGCTGCACTCTTTACACAAGTAGTATTCCACTCCAGGAAGTATAGGTAATATAGTGAGTGGCATATTTGCATAATATGGCTAATGTGCCAGGTATAAGCCTTCCTGAGTCAGGCAGCTTTAATGGAAGTTATTCACACTTTAGTGAACTGCTATCTTGATGTACCCTTGAAAAGTGTTCAGAAATATAACTGAAGAAAAGTGCTGCAGTTAGATTGGTAAAGAATGCACTAAAACTCTGCACAAACTGCCTGTGTATCATCTAAAGTTTAAGGCAACAATGCTGATGTTACAGCCCAAAAAACTTATGGGCTGGTTGCCTGACCAACTAAACGTCTCTCCTGCTACAAGCCTGACTAATAACTTACATTAACAGGAGATGCTTCTGCTGCCAGAAGCTTGTTTATTTGACATGTGGGAAAAGGCCTTCTCTTATGCAACATCAAGGCTATGGAATCAAAAGAATTTTCACTATTAATAGATTTTAATGCCACTTTATATTTTGATTTTAAATGTGGTAAGCTGCCTTTATTGTTTATAAAAGTAGAAAAATGGGGTGTGAATCTAATTAACATAATAGTTAAATTAAAGGCTACAGGATTGATTAGCAGCTTCCAAATACTTACATTTATTGAAAAAGCTTCTCTGCCTTCTCTGCTGCACTGTCACATTATATGATGCAGAAATGTTGCAGTGTGTCTGAAATGAACATGCCAAGGCAGCATACTGGCAGCTGATTCCATGGTTTGAAATCAAAGCATAACCTGTGGGGAAAAAAATCATGTTAATATCTCAATTATTGAAAGGCTGAAAAAATATTAACTTATGAATAAGACAGTACATCTCAAGAAATATTAGTATATTTGGATATATTTCTTGGATAATATCTCTATACACAATGTAAGAGAAAGAGAGATGCCTTTCTTAAGATGATTCAGCCACCAATAATTTTTATAGATTCTTGTAGTAAATATAACAACTTTAGACTTTTGCTGACCAACTAATCAAACACATCTTTTTACCTATTAAAGTAATTTATATGTATTAACTTAATCAATTCACTCATCCTAAAGGAAATTACCCCAATTTAAATATAAAGCATTAACCCAGAAAAACAACACAGGGTCTACATCTCTTTAGCAAATTTACACAACAATTGGTTGCTTAATATTATACCCCCCTCAGTTTTCTAGACAATTCTCTAGACCGGTGTTTCTCAATGTGGCAAGTTTAAGATGGGTGGGCTCCAAATCTCAGAATTCGCCAGCCATGCTATCCATTATAAGCTTGGCAAGGTTGAGAAACATTGCTCTAAACCGGGTTGACAAATATGGCATTGTTACAACCTGTGGACTTCAATTCCCAGAATTTTTACACCAGCATATCCACAGGCCATAAAGTTGCCATAGTTGTCCACCTCTGCTCTAGACAAAATAATTTCCTTCAGCATCTCTGTTACTGAGAGAATGGACTCTGCATTTTCTTTGCTAGAAGTAAGAAGCAAAGAACAGAAAAAGAAAAGCCTTGAGGGCAAGAATCTTCCTTATCTTTTATTATCCTTACACTTAATTTATTATAAAACAATATATACAATTAATGTATTATACTTTCACACAATTTATTACTGAAAAAAAAAGAAAAAAGATCCACTGAACTCACTGTATGTCCATTTTAGTCTAGGGGTGTGTGTTTAACCCCTTTCATTTTTTATTCTTTTTCAGAGCACCAGTTATAATGCCCAGTTAAAAGCGGGCATTATAACTTTTTTTCTGCAATGGCTTATCTCATGTCTTCAGGAAACCTGAAGGGTGCAACTGTGGTTGGTTTCAAGGTCCATGATACAAAAATTTCTACCTATGAATAACAATTGGAGCCCATTCTCAATATCAACTCTGGAAAATTCCAAAATGAATATAATTCATACAAAAACATACCCACCCAACAAAATTCTATTACAGATTATCATTGCTGTGTTTTACCCACTTATCACTTTGCTTTTGGGGAATGTCATGGAAAGCAAGGACTGTGAGACAAATGAATGCTGTAATATTTATTGGGAAGTATGAGATGAGGCCAGTGAATGTTGGTACTAACTGGACACACAATTTCCCAAAAGAACAAAGAGACAAGAAAGGACTAAACTCTCTGCATTTGAAATATTTTAAACTTTTGTTTATTATTACTAAATTTATTTGCCATCAACTTGATTATTCTAAGCACTATTGATTAAACTATATCTGCAATAAACTCTGAAAGCAATCCATCTTAACCAGAGCCTATGTCTGATATTTCAATTTAGCATGCTTTTTGCAATGCAGGCAAAAATTGCAGTAATATACAAGTTATGCAACAATTCTAAAGTGATTTTGTTTTTATTCCTAATATGTAAATCTGCATGTTTACAATGTAATCCCACTGTTGTCTTTTCATGATAGGCAATCACGTTTACCAAACTGGTTATGCAAGCCATTTTATGTATTTTATGGTTTAGTGTGCCATGCAAAGGCTTAGGAATAGTTAAGTTAATCATGGGTGCTACTTGTGAACAGTTTACGTGTATTTATTCAGAAGCTGATTTCCCTATGTACAGTTGGATTTATTCCCATTTAAGTAAGCTTGCCTTGACTTTCAACAGTGCATAAACTTTCTGTGAGGAAATACTAAATTCTGATCCCGTCTTCTCATTTTTTATTAGCAGATTTCCTACTCTCAAAATTCAACCGAAGCTTCAGCAGTTATGATGGCTGCAACCAAATACAAATGATCATATATAAGGGCAGAGGCGAGAATAGCCCAGAAGAAGGAAGGCTAACGTGAGGAAGCCCCGCCGATCCAGCCCGTGCATGGAAATCTCAGCCCAGGCGAAAGCAATAAAAGGGTTCACCTCTGCACGCGGTCCTGAGGACGCCGGCATTGCAGACTCTCTGGGCCGCGACAACTACGGCGGCCGCCATGTTTCCAAAGATCCCGGGCAGCTCCCGTAGTTCTTGCGGGCAGACACCTTCTTCCGGATCTCAAATTTGACCGCGTAAAAGTATTAATTCGGTTTTTCAGTAAATCAGATGAAGTTAATCAGAATGACAGGCACTGTTGAAGGCAGCTTCTTCTCTTGGAAGGATTATCGTTTGGACGCAGCCACCGGATCCTATTAGCTAGCATTTCTTACTTTAAGGTTGTATGGACTTCAACTCCCAGAATTCCCCCGCCAGGCATGAGAAGCACCGCGTATACCCTTGCCTTGCAGATTCAAACGCTAAGAGTTCTAGTCCCCGACACGTTTTGTCGTCACATCCTGGTTTCTTTCGAAAGCGGCGAGGAATCTCCGTCTTGCTTCCATGTGCGGGGCTCTAAAAAATTACTGAAGCCTCCAAAAGGAAGGATGCATTAAATAATAAATCGATGGCTATTTGTATTGTATTAGTGCCGCTCGTCACGGCTGCCTTATTCAACACGGGAAGTAGAACTCGTTCTTTGCCAGTGAGACTGATTTAATATGCTCCCACTCCGCTTTTCGACGGTATGCTTCCAAACGCGTGGAGAAGCAGGTGTTTGGACTGGCTTAATCTACATCTCTCCTCCCTCCCTATATGCTGGGGATCATATAAAGAATATTTATTCATGGTTTGCAGTGCAGCTGCAGCATAAGTGACAAATATAAAGGGAAAAATTTTTTTCCTTGGCCATTTCAGAAAAAAAAAGCCTTTAAAAGCCACTTGACTTTTGGTGGCTGCCAGGACGACTCCGTGCAGTTTTCTGGGCAAGATTTCAAAACTGTTTATCTAATTGCCTGCTTCCTAGGGCTGAGTGTATGACTGGTTCAAAGTCACTGAGCTGCCTTTTGTGCCTAAGTAGGATTAGAACTCATAATCTCCAAGTTTCTGGCTTGGTGTCTTTTAACTATACCAAACTGGCTCACATGACTTTTAACTTGTTCGAATCAGTGATCTTGTAGTCACTGAGCACAGATTTGATGTTGGAATATGGAGATTGTTCAGAGCAGAGGTGGTATTCAGCAGATTCTGACCAGTTCTGGAGAACCAGTGGCGGAAATTTTGAGTAGTTCAGAGAACTGAACTGGCAAATACTACCTCTGACTGGATATTTTACAGTACCCTTCCCCTGCCACACCCACAGAACTGGTAGTAAAAAAAATGAATCCCACCACTGGTTCAGGGGCATATCCAACTTGTTACCCTGTTTCTTTTTTCTAGTTAGTAAAACTGCCGTAGGAAAATGAACATTCCAAATAAATTGCACAAACTTGAAATCTATTTGTGTCTGTACAAAAGTAGACTATCAGAGTGATCTTCCATCTGTGGATATTGAAGCGAATATAAGAATGTAGATCTTCCAATTTGTATGATACTCCCCAAATTCTGCTTTTTGTTACCTTTCAGTGTTCCTATTTATGCAACATTTCCCATACATTTCCAACCACAGTGTATTATCACCCTCTCCTGGCTTTTTGAAATTATTTATAGGATAGCCTCAGATTACAATACTGACAGAGACTGGGATTGTCATCAGTAAAGCAATGTTGTAAATGCAATGTAATATGACTGCATTATTTAGTGATCACAATCTTGGCAGTTCCAGTTGACATTGTAACCCTAGGATTGTGCAAGTTGTTAAACTAGAAGGGGCAGGATTAGGCAAGGAATGCAGATGACATGGGTGGGCCCTATGGGGGCCAGATAAATTGGTGGGGACTATGGGAAGGCTGGTGGGAGAGGTAGGTGTTACAGAGTGCTGGTGGAGATGGCAAGTGAGCCAGGTGGATGCTACAGAGCGTGGGCAGTCTAGCAGAGGTTGTGCCCAGGGTGGATGCACTAGAGTATGATTAGGTTAACACACAGAGTGTGTTAACCTATTCTCCAAAGCACCTGAAGGCAGAACAAGAAGCAATGGATGGAAACTAATCAAGAGAGAACCAATCTAAAACACAGGAGAAATTTCCTGACAGAATAATTATTTAGAGAAATGCCTCTAGAAGTTTGGGTGCTCCAACACTAGAGGTTATTAAGAAGAAATTGGACAAGCATTTGTCTGAAATGGTATAGGGCAGTGATGGCTAAACTTTTTGGCACCGAGTTCCCAAAGCGCATGTGCGTGCACCCCCAAAATGCAATGTGCACATCCCTGCGCATGTGCCAGACACCACGCATGCACATGTGTCCCTTGCACATGCAACCCCCGCATGTGCCCCATCATCTGCATGCACTCCCCCCATGTGTGGCAGAGACCCAAAGACTACCTGGCTGGTGGGAGGTGCGCATGGATGCCCGGTGGAGCTGAGCTGGGACGAATGCTCACATGCCCACCGAGAGGGCTCTGCGTGCCACATCTGGCATGCGTGCCATAGATTTGCCATCATGGGTATAGAGTTTCCTGCCTGAGCAGGGGATTAGACTAGAACAGTGGTCACCAACCGGTGGGCTGGGGACCACTGGTGGTCCGCAAGAAAATTTTGGGGGTCCGCAGAGAAATGTCATCCACAAAGCAATTAATCCAGGCTGCACCAGAACACAAGGCTGCACTGCCCACATGGCCCGCGGGAACACAAGGCTTGTGTTGCTTGCATTGTACACAACATGAGGTAGTGAGGGAGGGAGGAAAGGGCAGAGGGGTGGAACTTGCCCCACTCGTCCCATACGCCTAGCCTGGCCACCGGGCTGTTTCTTTCCACTTCTTTCTTCTGCTTTTGACTGAACTCAAGGAAAGCAGCAAAAGTCTTTCTTTTTCTTCCCCAAACTCTGCCACAAACGAGTCTTTGGGACCCTGCAAGGCATCCTGCTCCAAAAGACTGCACCATCAAAGACTCATTTCTGGTGGAGTTTGAGGGAGAGAAAAACTTCTGCTGCTTTCCTTGCGTGAAGCCAAAAGTCTCTCCCTCTCTCTCTCCCTGAGAACAGAGCTGGAGATTGTATCCTGCGATCCCAAATAAAAAATGATCAATCAGTAGGAAAACGGGGTGGAGAATTTTCCTGCAGACTTTTTTTCTGCAGCCAATGTCAGTCAAAATTCATATTAGTGGTCCGTGGGATTTAAAATTATCAGTTTGGTGGTCCCTGAGGTCCAAAAGGTTGGCGACCCCTGGACTAGAAGACCTTCCAATGTCCCTTCCAACCCTGTTATTCTGTTATTCTGAATGACTTGCAACCACCCCTTCTGGCTTCCCTATTACTTTTGCTCGTAGGAAGCTGGCAAGGAAGGTTGCAAATGGTGACTGTGGGATGCTGCAACTGTTGTAGCATTGCCAAGAACCTAAATCATGATCACATGACCACAGAGAGTGCATTGATGACCATAACTTGAGGACTTGTCCTAAAGAGCATTCATTCAGTGCCATTGTAATTTTGACCGGTCAATGAATGATAATCATAACCTGATGATTACATGTATTCCTTCAAGTAATCTCAGTTCTAATGCTAAATATAACTAACGATGACGTCTGTAATGAAAGGTGGCTATTCCCCTCATCCATTTGCCTATCACAAATGATCTGAGGTAGGGTTATTTATTTATGTATGTATGTATGTATGTATGTATGTATGTATTTATTTATTTAAAAACATTTGTATTGATGCCCATCTTCTAACCAGCTCTGGGCAGCTTCCAACCAAAAATTAAGACAATTTACAAGATTATATTAAAACTATAAAACTAAACAGATTAAAACATTAAAAACAATAAAAACCTGGCAACAGGTCAACTTCTAAAGTGCAGTTATCCAATCTTATCCCAGCACTTGGGGAAAAAGCCAACCTTGTTTTCTTTTTGGCACCAGGCAAACACAATTTTACCCTCTGAGGCCTTTTATTAATATGTTACTATCACTGTGATATGCAACTATTGTACATTACTGTTGCTTTTACTTTCTCATTGTTTTAATGTTCATTTTACTGATTTTGTTTTGTTTTATGATTGTATCAAATGTCTTAAGATGATCATAATAACTGTTTGAATTTAATGAGAAATGATGTATAAATGATGTATAAATATGATCAATCACACATGCCTCCATACCAATCATAGTATGTTATTTGTGGGATAAGCAGAATGCAGAAAAGGAATAAAAAATAGTAAGCCAAAGAAATTAAAGGTATGAGAGGAAAGAAAAGGAAACATAGTTAAAATGAGTTTATACCAACATGATTCGATTATCTTTTCATATCTTCTTAACATTGAAATATTCTTTGTTTTGCTTCTACCACATCCACACACCAATTCATATACTTTTGTTTTTTAAACTTCTCACTTGTTTTTCTTGAAGCTCTCAACTCCACCCAACTACAGTTTTCTTGATTTTCCCTTTTCTCTATCTTTATTCACTCTTCCTTCATACATTTGTTCTGTAATTCAATCCTTAACTTTTTCTAAGTGACCAAGCCAACTCAATTAATTTTTTTGAAAATGGTCATTCTACTTTGAGTTTAGTTCTCATCCAGAGCCTTCCTAGCAAGATTTGCATATCATAACATTTCTTTATCTATTTCCCTATGTTAATAGATTCTTCCAAGGTACACTAATTCATTTATTGGTTCCAAATGCCATTTATGTATAAATGGTATTGTTTTTCTTGTCAAATATTATCAAACCCTGGTTTTTGTATTCATTTTTTAGATCAATACTTTTCATTGCATCATATAATCTAACAGTTGCTGAACAGCACATGTGCATTCATGTTCCTAACCAACATATCTTTAATTTCATCACAAGCATTCCTTCTACACTTAACCATAAAGCCATTGAACAATCAATGAAACATAACATTTCTTTGTCTTACTCCCAATTCATTGTTCTACCACTAATTAGCATTATCATGAATGCATTGCTTCCATCAATATGTAACTTACCACATTCAGAAACAACTATCAACTTCAAATTTGTGCACAGCTTCCCATAATTCAAGACTATTTACTTTATCATGCAGTTTAATTAGATTTACAAAATACAATAAGTTTCTTTCTGGCAATTATAATTCCCATTAGCATTGCTCCATATGCTTCTGTGGACCTCTGGAATATATTTTTTTCTTGCTGCATCAAGCATTTTCCACAGCCCACTTATCATTCATTCTATTGGGAAATGTATCTATTTTTTCATGCAGAACTCATACGTTCCCTTCCTGTAATAGTTTTGACTTCATTCTCATTTTTTCCCACTATTCTTTTCATCCATGGCTATTTTATTTTATGAAGAAACATTTGTTGA